GACGAGAACAACCAAGCTAATAAGACTAACAAAAAATCCCTGAAAACCGACTTTTAACACTTCTAACGTTTTTGCTCCTGGCAGGTCCAGTGTTGCTGCTTCAGTCCAGGAAAGTCCACTCTGGTGTTTGCAGGGACACAGGTTGGTTCTGTGGTGCTGTGGGACCTGAGGGAGTATGCCAGCAACCATTACAGATTAAAGATTGGTGATCATGAGTGGACCCTCAGACATCCCACCTTTTCCACCGGTATGTCAGGAAAAGTTTTATTCGCTTAAAATTTTCATTAAACACGGATTTTTCCTTAATATTCATTTTCATGTAAAATGTTTTTGTTCTTGCAAACTTGCACCAAATCCAGGGGCACTTTAAGAAATGAGATAACCACATTGGTTTCAGTATTTCAAAACATAAAACTCATAAACTGTCTGGATTAAATCCAGGGTTTTATTTTTGTTGATTTCGTTGGGTATCCCTTACAGCATCCCTCCGGTGCAGAAGCTGCTTATCTACGTAAACAGAAGAAACGCGGTGAGCGCTGACATCTTGTCTTTCGTTGTTCTGTCAACACAGACGCAGTGATGTCCGGCTCAGGCCATGTTTCTCCTGTCACCTCCGTAGAGGTCGTTCCCTCCTTTGTTGCTGGAGGACTGAGACCAGAGGTCGCACTTCTAGCCTCAGAGGAAGGTGTGACTTTCTTTTTACACAGTGACTGAATATTAGTGTGTCATTACTTTGTTTTTTTCAACCCAATCAAAATCAGTCAACTAAAATTATATCTTCGTCTCTTCATCACTCAGAATCATCAGGATTGTCGTTCCAGCTTGCCTCCTTGGATGAAAACGGGATGTTAAATTTCTGGGTAGGTTTGGCAACAAAGAGAAACGAGTTTAATGAAGTGATCCAGAGAGGTGCTACATCGTAGTGTTTGGTTATTTTATTTATTTGTTATCCTCTTAAAAACTTTAACACAAATTTCTGGAATATAGTATACAAATAAAACCCTCAACCTATCCGTCCCAAAAGAGAAAAACTTTTCATAAAGGAAAGACAAGGCAGTAAACATGCATGAGATGATTCCTTATCTGATTTCAGCAGATAAGAAATCTGCTTAAATCTGAAACTCTTTGCAACAGTTTTCTTCATATTTTATCAGGACTTTATGTGATCACAAAGTAGTGTGTAATTATGACATAGAAGGGAAATAAACTTTCTCCCTGACTTGTCTGCTTTGTTTCTTGATCATGTTTGTTCATTAATGTCCTCTACCATCTTTTGAGGCCATCTGGTTATGGGATGAACTCCTGCCACCTGAGCCACTGTCACCCCATTCACTCCTTGTTAGCTGTCGTGCCTATGTACAGATCTGCATAAAATCTCAAAAAAATACCCTGAATATTGAGTGGAACGTCTGAAAATTTGCTTGGAAATTTTATATGTGAACATATAAATCCACTCCTCCAGAATGTTATAAAGTGTAGTCTTGTTTGGCGTCACTGATATTCATCAGTATTCACGCACTTTTATGTGTTTTCCTCTTTGCGTCCTGTAGGTGGTGGTGGAGCTCCCTAGAGGCAACGAGGCAGGCTCGCCGACAGATTTAGGTAATTGAGTCACATTTTATAGTCCTCCCTGTTCTATCCAGTAAACATACTCATATTTCTCCCACACGTGTTTTGGCCTTATTTCTGTCTTGTGTTTCCCACCCTGCAGGTCTCCGTCCCGGGGGAAGAGTGAAGCTGCTTCACAGTTCCTCCCTCCTCACTGTTCAGAGGTTAGATTGATAAATAGCTCATGATGAGCACTTGTCAGCCGCTGGGCTTAAAAATACCTCAAAGTGGCTTGACCCAGTGGGACGCAGCTGTTCTGACAGTGGTCACATGATCCAGTGTTTGTCCCCTCGACATGTCTCTGGAGGTCATGTACTTGTACAGGCTGGGGGAACATGATGTGATGGGACAGTTTGTGAGATCTAATGTTGCGCTCTCTTCGTCTCCAAGGCCGTCACTAAAAGAGGCAGCAAAAACAAGGCCCTCTCAGACGCTGCTTTTAAAATACCATCCGACAGACTCCAATCATTTCTTTATTGGCACCAATCTGGTGAGCAAAATGTACCCCAATTCAGACTAGTGATCCCTAGTTTCCTTCTGGGAAATGTTGTGACTTCCTGTTTCTTTCCAGGGTCTGGTCAGACATGGAACAAGTCACGGTTTGAAGGCTCCTCCGCAGTTTTACAGGTCCCAGGAGGTGGAAGAAAGAACTGTTGACATCAACTCAATCCACTTCTCTCCTTTCAGACCAAATCTCTTCCTGGTAGGAAGCGTTCCTTTTCAAATTGAATCAGTTTTAAGACATGCAGCCTTTTGCACACATACTAGTGCTGCTTGTTGATATATAAAAACACTTATGTTCATCTTTGATTACAGTATCATTCTTTCACACTGAAAAATGTTAGAAAATGTTTATTTTTATTTAGGGACAATTGTCCAGATTCGAAGTAAATTGCATATTCTGAAATAACTGTTCTTACTCCTGAAATCATTGGTACCCTTCAAGATTCTTAGCTTAGAAATGATTTCTCTCAGTCAAGACAATAATTAAAAAGCTTAAAATGCCAGAGCTGTGCAAAACAAGGGTGTGTGCCTTGTTTTGCACAAGGAAAAAGAGTATGGGAGGTAAAAATAGTTTGCATAACTTACAAAAAGTGGCGACTTTGGCTTACCAAGTCTTCATAGCAACTATAGAAGACACCATCTTCTCACCAGCTGTTCATTTTGATGTCATACAGAATTTTTTTTTTCTAGTATCACTATTAATGGTGCTTTCTTCTTCTTTTTGGCAACAAACACACGAGGCAGATGTAGCATAAAGCAAAGAATGAATTAAATTAATAGTAAAAGCAACTCATGCCTATTGTTGAGTATGGTGAAGGATCTGTGTTAAAGCTCAACGCATCATGAACGTTTTAAATTGTCAGGTGATTTAAAATTTAAAATCTGGTATAATCTGCTGGATTACTAAAAATGGGTTGCAGATTCCCACAGGTTAAAGATCCAAAATGTATGGCCAGATCAACACTGACATTGACATTTAACTGTAAACTTTTGTTTATGAGTCTTTGCTACTGCATCAAGAAATGAATTTATTTCAGAGTTATTTTACTTGAGTGCCAACAAATGCGCCAGGAGCTGTAGGATCTATTTTATAGCTTGCTAGATATATTGGTGATCATCTTAGCATACACAGAGAATCAATGGAAAATGGCTAACATATTAAATTTGCTGATTCTTTTAAAAATTAATAAGCAGACCAAGTTACACAAATAATATTACCATTATTCTGTTCCCTCCACCAAAGAAGATTCTTCTCATGTTACTCTGAAATGATGAATTCCAGGTACTTTGATTCATGTTTTGGTGCAAGGGTGTACTTTACGACCTTACTGTGAGTTTTTTTTTCTTCCCTTTTTTGTAGGTGGGCTGTGCAGACGGCAGCATCAGGATGCATGCAGTCAGCCACGATCAGCCTGTGGCAGAATGGATGAACGGCACCGGTGGAGAAGCGGTGGTCTCGCTGCAGTGGACCCAGACCAGGCCTGCTGTGTTTTGTGTCCTCGACGCCGCTTCTAACCTTCACATATGGGACATGTTGAAAGATGATGGACAGCCTGTTATGACGGAGACATTTCGTGATGATAGGTAACACCAATTAAATGAGCGACATGTAAAGTGTAGCATACATTTTATGCCATCCTGTGTTCATATCAGGTGTGTGCTTTGTGTTTTTAGGGTAACAGCTATGGCTGCGTTTGGAGACTCGGGACAACAAAACACATACTCGGGAATTGCGCTGGCACACAAGTCAGGAAATATAGAGCTGCAGTATTTCACTCCGTCTTTGACGTTGCCCAATCCTGCAGAGGAGGGAAAGTTGGAGAGCATAATGACTGAAGCCTTTTGAAACCATCCATCTTGACTTCATACAGATACCGACTCACTTTACTGTTACTTTAAAGGTTCAATTCATTTTTAAACACAGAAGGAGCAAAAAATGCAACTAATACAACGTCTAAAGACATCATCCTACATACCTTTCTGTTTGTTCAATATGAATTGAACAAACATGAGCTGAACATGGCCATGAGGGGAACGTTGTTAATTCATCGATTGTCCTTAGTTGTAAAAGAATATTGTACACGTTTGTGGATATATGAAAATATTTATACTATTTGGCTATAAAATATTTTTATTACAAAGTGTGAGTTATTTTAAATAAATATAGTAAACCTGTATATACAATGTTGGGTTTTATTTTTCATACATATCACACCATTTTTACACATCATGTGTAAAAATACTCCACTTGACTTAACCCCACAGAAGCAGGATTAGGTTAGACACTGACTGCATTGTGGGAGAAGAAGTGGAGACGGTTGAGGAGTATAATAATAATAATAATGTTGATAATAATAACACATTTTATTTATATAGTACTTTTCTAAAAACACACACTTTACAGGATTCAAGGAAAATTACAAACAGATCAGTACATCAAACAAAATCATAAAGAGTAACAGAAAAACTTGAATAAGTGTCTTCAGTTGGAGGCTTCTTTAGATTTGCTGTAATACAGACTGCTACAGAAGATCCTATCAACAGCTATTAGCATCTACTCTTTGAAGAACCTTGGGGAATACGAGTGACAGCAACATTTATCTTCCATTTGGGACTAATAAAGTATTTTGGAAAGGAGTTGAATTATCTTCAAAATATTTTTGAAATAAAGCAAGAGTTTTTGCAGCCAAGTAACTGAGGTTGCCGAGAAACAAGCAAAGAACAAGGGAAACAATTTAAAGACATACAAAATGGGAGCAGCGAGCTGGATTCTTGCAGGTCAAAGACATTAAACTTTTGGGATTTTATTTTTTATTTTTCATAGACTCAAACAGTACTTTCTTTAAAGTCTTACAAATTACCAACAAAAAATTACAACATCAGAGGTTCACACCCATTCGATGTTGGATTCCTATGCATAACTTGGTATTGTATTGCACTATTATTATTATTATTATTATTATTATTAGTAGTAGTAGTAGTAGTAGTAGTAGTAGTAGTAGTAATACCATTTGCACAAATGAATTATGAAGGATTTGAGATAATTGAGAAATGATTTTAACTTTGAAATGACGAATTTCAATACACTTCCATGACCCTTTTAAAGTTTACAATGTGGATTCTTTTATAATTCAATTCACTTGATTGTTTTCACTTCCCAGAGTGCCTTGCATTAGCTTCTTTGTAAAGCAGGCATGGGAACCGTTTTCTTACATTTTCCTCAGGGTGAGTACACTTATTTGTCCTCAGATTTCTGCAGAGCTTTCAAGTAGAAAGATTCGGAGCAGAATCACATCTCAGACTTGGAGAACACCACCTTCTGAAGGCCGAGTCATTTTGAGGTAGTGGCTCCAGGACAGAGCAGCAAATCATCCAAGGTTCAGAATAGAGGCTGTTATCTTAGCTCTCTAAGATGACAGAACCAACAAGACATCGAACTCAGAAAATTCTCATTTACGATAGAAGGCAGACTGGAAAAAAGGTAGATCAGCTTGCAGGTGGTTACTGGGAAATTACTGCCGTAACTGTCAGTGAAGCATTCGATTTGTGTCTGCAGGTTTTTGCCTATGAAGAGGATGAGCACTTCCTTGTTCATGGGTTCTATCACTTCAAGCATTTCCCCTGTGACAGCCCAGTGCGTTTCATGTTGCACTCCCCTGCAAATGGTGCCTTCATCAGCCTCCACGCAAACAACAAAGTAAGCTATTTCAGACCTAAGTGCCTCAAGGAGACCATCTGGAGAAAACTGCCCTTTTTGGGCCTCACTGCAACAAAGATCCTGGGATGGATGGTAGGCTGGGGCCCCGGGCCCATCTTCACCCTCCTGGACAACAAATTGCGGCATTTGGATACTGCGGACAACGCTCTTGATATTCGGCTGTGTGAGGCGGCGGAGCATTCCTGGGAGCTGGTGACTGTAGGCTTTGGGAACGTGTGTGTGTGGTCGGTGTTGCTCATGAGGTGCAGAGTGAAGCTACAGGAAGGGCTGCAGCAGAGAGCTTTCACTCACATGGCATTGGCTCCTCCACAGAAGAATAGGCCTCACCTTGCCTTTGTTGCATGTGGAATGGATGTGACTGTGATCAACCTCGATGATGGGATAGTTCTGGATCACCAGGAGAGACTCTGTCTAAGGTCTGCAGGATCATGATGATGTTGTACACAGTTATTGGTTTTGTGGTATCTATGCAGTTTTACCTTATATTGTTGAGGTCATTCTTTGTTTCAGAATCTCATGCACCACCTTAGTAGCTGGAGCATGACAGCATATAAATGATTGAATTATCCTCAGTATGAAGAGCTTTAAAATGTAAAAGTACCCGTTTTACTTTTTTGCATTGTCTTAAATTACAACCACAACAAATACGTTTTATGTGTCCTACAAAATAGTGCATTGCAACAGTGTTTTACAAATAACTTTGCAGTTGTATTTTGCCCACCAGAGTCAATGCTTTGTTAAAGAGAGACAGCAAACTCAATTTGTGGCAGTCACAGCTGGCAATGGCAGTTCCAGTGTCAGCTGCCAGTAGGTGCCACCGAAACAGTGACTGCTGGCACTGATTGAACATAAATATGAATATATTTGTTTTAAATATATTTGTTTTAAATAAATTTTCCATGACACTTGATGTTAATAATCTATTTTTGACATACATTTTGGTGTAATCAGCAGAACTTTACATCATTTTTATAGAAATCCTATCTGTATGTTTTATGGCATGACTTAAGTTATTTATTTATATTTATTTATTTATAAGGATCTGTTTTTCAAATAAACACATATAAAACAATGATGGTTGGTTAAAAAAAATTAAATAAAAGAAAAAATTAGGTTTTAATAAAAGGTTTTTCCTTTTATTTAAATAGCTTGGTAAGTTATTTTTCAAATAAACTTACCAAGCTGGTAAGTTATTTAAAAGAGATATAGAAGTAAATTTCTGAAAACTCTTTTAAAAGACTTTTTCTCTCACAGTGAAATCACCGCAATGTTGTTCTGCACCCAACTTGACAGTTTGATCCTCGCTTTCCGAGATTGCACCATCACAGTCTGGGGTCTTGACTGGGTTCCGCGTGTTACTTTTTTTGGACACGATGGTAACTTTAAGATTAAACTGCTTCAGGTTCAATATGTATTTATCTACCCAATTGACTTCATTTTGTCTAACTTCTATTTGTTTGCTCTGCTTAGGTGTGGTGAATTCGCTGTTCTATTGCTCCAAATCAAACCTGCTGATCTCATGCTCTGCAGACTGCACCATGCGTAGCTGGGATGTAAAAAACAACTTGGCAATCGATTGTTTCCACACAGAGCAGAACCACCCTCCACTGTGTTTAGGGGGCATAGAGAACAAACACCCATTTTTCTCTTTTTCAGACAAAGGTGTGGATCTTTGGTTTCTAACAGCTTGGTACACCCTCCACACAAAGGTCAAAGGGGATGAAGACATCGCATTGAAACAAATTTTAGTCTCACATTTGCCTCCTTGCTACCCAACCCGTGTGACTTGTGTCAGTGAAGATGATCATATCTATCTGGTTTCTGCTGGAAAAGCAGAAATACTGACTTCCTTTAAGGCAGGAAAGAGGGTATTATGTGCTGCTTACTGCCTTCAAAAAGAGCTTTTGATTGTCTTGACTAAGGGTGGTACCTTACTGCAAGTCAACCCACTTGCTAATCCAGCCACTTTGATACAAGAATGGGAAGGCAGAGGCCAGGCTCTATGGTCAATATCAGACTCTGTTAGTAAAAAGGATCTCCACAATCTGCCGGATCCTGGCCCCGCCTGTTGCATGGTGATTTACAGCTCCTTAGGAGACCCTGAGAAGGCTTTAGAGAGGTGGAAAAGTTTACAAAGTGGGAGAGGCAGCAGTCAGAAGGACAGCAAACATGTCGATCATTTCAAGAATCGGTAAGCAGCTTCTCTTTATATTAAACTACCGTATTTGCCAGATGTATTCGCTCACAGACCCAGATCACTAAATCCAGGTGTCCCAGTTGCTTCCATGGCCACGGGTGTATAAAACCCAGCACTTCAGCATGCAAATTGCTTCTACAAATGAATTGCCCTCAGGAACTCAGTGAAATGTCATTGTAGTATCATAATAGGATGCCTCCTGTACAACAAGTCCAGTCGTTAAATTTCCTCCCTGCTGAATATTTTACAGTCAGCTGTTAGAGGTATTAAAGGTGCAGCATGCAAGTTTTGTAAATAGTATGTATTTTTACATATTTAATGGAGCTGTGATATTCTGCGAAAAAAAAAAAAAATCAATCATGCTTGTGTTCATGCTGCTCAATGTGCTAATGGTGGAGAAGCCAACATTATGTTAAACCCCTCAGAAAAACGGCCTTCACACACTCAGGACTGTGTGTGAAGGCAGATGAGTGACTACCTATGGTGTTATATGGTCGTGCATTTGAATTGCTAGAAGTTGATCTATTGTGTGGAATTTTCTTTATACATTTTGTGTTGGAATCAGATTTTGGATTATCATTGGCCAAAGTGGTGGCTGTGTGAGTGTCCTCACAATGGATGATGGGACGGTCCTGTACAGAACCCCCGCACACAACGGCAAGGACGTCACAGCAGTGAAGGCCTACCCGAAGTACAACTACCTCCTCTCCTCGGGTGAATTTAAATCAAACATTTTTATATCCTCGCGCGTCTTTTTCAAAGAAGATTTGATTACTTTCAATCTAATCATCAAGGTGCGGACTTCACGGTGGTGGTGTGGAAAGTTCACCCCGATGCTGCAACGTGTCTAACCCCTTGGCAGACGGTGATATGTTATGAGCCTCAGGTCTACCTGGCGGCGCTGGAGCTGCAGGTGGCCCTGGCGTTTCAAGAGCCTACCAGCAACTCCTACAGCCTACAACTCTACCATGTGGAAAACCTGAAACGAGCAGAATGTCAGCAAACAAATGCACATATAGATTCCCTCACAGGTCACAGCTTGGTATAACCTCTACATGGGAAACTGCAAAGGGGATTTTTACCAGAGTGATTGTTTTTTTTTTGTTTGTTTGTTTGTTTTTGTTTTGCAGGAGTGTGCGCGATTCCTGAAATAAAGGCGTTTGCTTCCTGCAGTCTGGATAAGACAGTGCGCATCTGGAATGAGAAGAATAAACTCATCTGGTTGGACTTACTTCACATCTTCTTTTTAACCCCGCTTTATCTTATTTACCAGAATGTTCATATGTTTTGGGCTAGGGTTCTAAAAGTTATCCACACAACTTGAACTTTTTTCCCGATTTTGTCACATTGCAACCACAGACTTCAATGTGCAACTCTGTGAAGGGAAAGGTGTTAAATTCATACCAAAAGAGGCCAAAAGTAAAATGTTTGGTCAATATGCAAAACGTTGTTTAAAGAGGGAAAGTTCACATTGCATCCCCCTAACCTCCTCTGTGTTGGGTGTACAACAAGACAGAAACAAGTTCAAGGGGCATTTTCACTTTTGCAAGACATTGCATATTTTAGAATAAATATTCAAACACCATATATTTTGTTTTCAGGGTGCAACAGCTTGTGGCAGTACCTCAGTGTATGGAATACAGTGGAAACGGGGAGCTATTTCTGGGCATGAACGGGGACCTGTACAGGCTAGAGTTTGCACACTTTCTACCAAAGAAATACCAACGAACGGTGCAACTATTGCCTGCTTATTATTTAACTGAATTTAAACATTGCACACAGGAAAGTTTTATCATTGCTATGCCTGATTTTTTTTTTCCAGCTTCGCTGCTACTGTTTCGAAAATGTCCTTCCTGAGCTGCCTATTTCTGAGGTTGAAGAAACACCCGTCAAAGCCGAGTAGGACATGTTCCACTTTCAGGTTGCAATAATAATGCAATTATCCGAATGAGTTCTGAGCACTTTTGTATTCTAGAATGCCAACTGATGAGGCAGAAAGATTAAAGGAGGCTATCAACAACAATGAGGTAATGAACATATACCTGGAGGAGGACCAGGTGAGTATATAAAAAGGAACATTTTAAGATCTGTTGAACCCAGTAATAATTAAAACACCTGGCTCATAAATACATTTTTTTCCCACCTGTGTCAGGAGGCGTCAGTGATCATGGACATGGACCTGAAGGCTCTAGTAAAGGGAGAAGTAAAATGCACACAAAAGAAAACTCAGAGTACAAAACAAACCAAGATGGAGGCCTTTAACCAGTACATGCATGAGTTATATGGATTGTCACCTTGTGAGCAGGTATATTTCAGCAACAACTTTTTTTTCACCTGATTTTCTCAAGTACTTGAAAACAAATGAAACCGTCAATCCGTCCAGTATATAAACTTCTAGTATACTGGACTAGTTTTCAGTGATTCTCAAAAGTATCCAAGCAGGTCTCTCTTGAAAAGTAAATCTTGGATCTCATTGAGACAACCTGTTTAAACAACGGTCAAAGAAATACATTAATGCACATCCCAATTAAATGGCCAGGTTTAGTGTTGTCATAAGACCGGATGAATGTGACATATATGACAGATCCTTTAGGGATGAAATGTTTTAAAGATGAAACACCCTGCATCGGAGGAAGAAGTGGGTGAGGCCTTAAACTTCCCATTGTTGACCTAGATTTGATTTGTTTAGAGTAAAACTTTCCATAATAAGATCAACCTGAAATGAACTCTCTCAATAGGTTTTTTTTCTGACATTTTCATTACAATGACTTCAAGCATACATCCATAACACCAAGCTTCACCGGAAGAAAAAAAATGTTTTTGGAATGGCCTCCTGAGAGGAGACAAGAATTAAAATCAGCAGAAAATGTTAAACGTTTTACCGGAAGACAGATGTGGTCATAATCTGTAAATTTGGAAAACATTTGTAAGAAAGAGTATGCAAATATCCACAATTTAAGACGGGGTATGCTAACAGACTTCTACAACTTGAATCTGAAATTAAATTACAAAGTGGTTTAGTTTGGTTCAAAGTTGTTGATGTAAGGGAATGTGCACTTGCAAGGTTGCAAGATTTTTATTTATTTATTTATTTTTCACATTTCACATGTTATTTCCCCATAACGTAAAAAAAATGGCCAGGTTTTTGGCAACAGAGTGCATGTCAAATTTATGGTGGAAAATGTGGAGAAATTATTTATCAATATTTATAAATCAATCGATCAATCAATCAACCAATTGTATTTATAAAGCACCTTTCATACTAAAAGCAGCTGAAAATGCTGTACTGATCAATAAAAAACAAATCCACAAAAATAAACAATTACCCAACCAACCCCACGTGTATTATTGTACACATTGGACATCCTGTTTGTTATCTACATGCAAAGGATCTTTTTTTTTTTTTTGTGCTACTTTATTTTTTATGTTAAGCACATTTGCAAAACTCATACTAATTTGTTAAACACTCTGCTTTTCAGGCTGGCATAGATGAGGATGATTTTGACGCTATTCTAATGAAGTCCAAAGCACGTTTAATGCGAACCATGTACGTTCCAAAGCCAAAACTAAAGGTCGGTCCTGCGGCCACTGAAGTACTTGCGGAAAAACAGGTATAAACCTTTACGATGTCAATATGTTTTATCTACTAATGTTGAATTTAATTTTCCTGTGACAGATAGCAAAGTGACAGCTTTAGGAGAAAATTTATGACACTTGCATCATTCTCTTTTTTCCATTTGTAATCACAGCATTTTCCTCATTCTTAAGTTTGTTTTAGCTTTGCTTCTTTAAATGTTTCAGATCATTGAACCAGTGTCAATATCAAAGAAATAGAACAAATAGGAAATGCAAACAGCAATTTTGAACTGATGTTTACATTTATTAGATGGGAAAGGCTATATTGACCAACGTTGCTCTATGTAAAAATATGCGCCCCTTGTTAAAAGACACTTTATCTGTAATTGATTACATTTTACTGGAGGACAGTCGGAGTTCAATTTCATAAGCTACGTGCAGGTTTGATTACTGCCAGATCTGTAGGACCCAGAAATAACTTGAGAACTTGTCTGACAACATGAAGCAGGCTTAAAGGTGCCAAAAACCAAAACATTGCGCTCCAATCTAAAGAAATTCAAGAGGAGATAAAAAGGTTGCCTAGCTACAGTAACTGTCTGGAAAAGGTGGCCAATAACAGGAACTGCAGAAACTCTGGAACAGTGGGGAACCTTCCGGGAGCATTTGGGCAAAATGACTTCCATGGTGCTGATGACAAAGAACATTAAGGCTCATTGTACATTTTGCTCAACAACATCGATACCTCTAACATCTTTTAAGAAAAAGAACATGATGTCTACAGTCAAGGGAGTTGACTGTAGATACTTCTTTTCTTTAGAACTGATATGTTATGCACACAAAAGAAAACTCACATAAATTACCATAAATTTTCCTGTCCAGTCGAAATTCTGAAGGAGAAATCCACCAGTTTGTGACCTTGACACCAAGCACGATTAGGTTAGGCAGCACTAATCTAAAGAGTATTCCTCCACAGTGATGTTAAGAAGTTATGCCAGCTATCATAAGTGCTTCATAGCAGCTGTTTTTACCAAGAGGGGGCATATTCTAAATAAGTCTCTTAGCAGCATATTAAAACATTCTATGAATTATTTTGACTGTATTTTATCGTAGTATTTAAAAGTTGAAAAATTGTCCTCTGTAGTGGACATTTGTAATTATTTTCTGTTTTGTTCTGTATCCATCCACCCATCCATCCACACATCCATCCACCCATCCATCCATCCATCCATCCATCCATCCATCCATCCATCCATCCATCCATCCATCCACCCATCCATCCACCCACTCATTCATTTATCCACCCATCCATCCATCCATCCATCCATCCATCCATCCATCCATCCATCCATCCATCCATCCATCCATCCATCCACCGACTCATTCATCCACCCACTCATTATTTATCCATCCACCCATCTATCCATCCATCCTCCCACCAACCCATCCATCCATCCATCCATCCATCCATGTTCTGTACACCCTTGTCCCCTAGTGGGGTCAGGAGGTACTATTCTCTATCTCCAGCTAAAGTTCCGGGCGAGAGGTGGGGTCACCCTGGACAGGTCGTCAATCTGTCGCAGGGCAACACAGAGACAAACAACCATATACACACTCTCACACCTAGGGAGAATTTAGAGAGGCCAATTAACCTGACAGTCATGTTTTTGGACTGTGAGAGGAAGCCGGAGAACCAGGAGAGAACCCACTATGCAAGAACCCAGAACCCTGGGCCAGGTTCTGGGTTCTTGGCCTTCTTGCTAGGCAACAGTGCTCAGTTTTGTCAATGTGAAATTCATTCTTATGTTGATGTTTGGATAATTTCTTTGGGACAAACTGGTTGCCATCAAGGTTCAATTTCAAATGTATGGGGTTCCGATGTCCACTCTAGTGGACACATAATATTTCAAAAATAAAAACTTTTTTTTTTCCCAAAAAAATGTTTTCAGTATTCTAATTACCTTACAAACATTGTGGAATTTTAAAAAATGGTGACTGGACAATATTTTTTTTCCTGGTAGTCAGGAGGATATATCCAGATTGAAAAGACAAAGGTGATCAAAAAGGCTCCAGTGTTGAAAGCTGTGCTTGCAAAACAAGGAAAACAAGCCAAAATGGAAAAGGTAAAAACAAGACATATTCAGTCATTTTGGGACTGGAGCAGCAGCCAGTGGCACTTTATCAGACATTTTCTTGCAGGCTAGAAAGATCAGCAGTCCAGTGGAGTCAACCCACCAGCAGTACTGGTGGAATCAGAAACAGAGAGCAACATCTCTTCTTCCTCCTTCTCTACTTAAGACCCCAACACTATCGCAACTCCAGAGAGTCTCCACTTCTATTCCAACATTCCTCACTCGGTTTTCAAGTATGGAATGGTTTTCAGATCTGTATCCTGACAGAAAGGTAATGAAAAGAAATATGAAAATACATGCATCCTTGGTGATGAATGTGGTTAAGATGTTTGAATGTTTGCAGTCTATCTCAAACGACATTTCTCCTGAGGATGTCTTCCTGCAGCTATTAAATTACGTGCAAAACTCCGGCGGCAAAGCAAACTCCAAGGTCCTTGGAGCAGTTCAAGCAGCGCAAATTCTCCAAAGCCAGAACCTCTTTGATGTCACAGATAAACAGTACGCAAACCTCACCAATGCTTGGGACAAATTCATACAGCCAACGATGGTAAAGCAAAAACAGTATTGAAACTACGGCTTGAGTTACAACTGACAGCTTTGCTAATATGTTGGCGTTTTGCTTTTTTGCATGTTTCAGACAAATCAATCACGCGATGTGGTTGTTGAGATGTTAAATTTGCTGGTGGAGTTGAAGTCGGAAGTCAGTTACGATGTTACAAAAAAAGTTATAACTCTTCTGGCAAATAAGGAACTGAATGTCCAGTGAGTTTCTGACAGTATTAATTTGGAAGATAAGTGGTGTTTTTTGTTTGCTTGTTTTATTAAGAGATGGAACAAAAAAATCCTGTTTCTTTGTCAATAGGAAACCAATATTCTGCCTCATTGAGGGATTGGGTGTGCATCAGGCACAGTCTTTCCTGGAACGCGAGTTTCAAAAGTGGGGTGAGGGACTGGAGGACAACCCTAACAAGATGGAGATAATTAACGAGAAAGCAGGCTGCTGGATGGAGTATTGGACCTCAAAATTCAAAGTTAGTTCCTCATTTCATTTTGTTCTTATCTTGTTCCTCCAACAATGTCAAAATGTATGTTTTGTTCACTATTAAAATTAATTAAATTAACTTTGAGTGAAAGGTAAGAAAAAGGACAGGTGTGTGAAGAGGTCTACTGGTAACCACTTTTTTCCCCCCGTGCTACAATCCTAAACTTCAGTGTGTTTTGTAATTTAGGAGCATGCTAGCAAAAATTTGTTCAAAATTTTGAAGTGAAAAGAAAGTGATATAAGGGCATCAAAATTTTAAATAACCGCTGCAGCACGATGGAGCTGCCATCATGTTTCACATGGGGCAGGTCAATATGCAGTGGCAGTTTTTCTCCCTGCTGGTATGAATCTTTGTGCAGGGAAGTTAAAATATAAGTATTTTAATTGTGTAAAGTGAGAATATTTGCATTTAATGAAAATAAAAAAAGAACAACATAATTTGCATAAATAAATTTCTGGAGTGGATGTGGAGACGCAGGCTTTATGTTAAGTTGATGCTGTTGAATGGATGGGTGGAAACCAAACTACACCTTTGCATGCAAATAGATAAATATGCATAATGATCAGCAGGAACAGCAATAATACAGAAAAAAGGGGGAAACTACAGAAAACATATTTGTATATGTCAAAGATGCTTATATATGGCACTGTACACCATGAATGTTTATTTGCATCGTTTGCTTTCATTCTATGCAACACAGGATTATAACCGCTTTCTGAACACTGCAACTTCACCGGAGTGGAAACAGCCTCCCTTCAGTGGATTGGATGTCCTGAAATTTTTCTGTTTGATTAATAAACAAGAGATCAGAAGATCCTTCTTTATTCCTGCTGCCCAAAAATACAAAGTGATCGTGCCTCAGCAGAAGTGGTATGTGAATGTACACTCAAAATAGTTGTTTTTCTCTGTAGATTGCAGACTTTTTTTTATAAGATTCAGTCGAACTAACTAGATGCATTTTTCCATCTATAGTTTAAAGTAGTTTTATTTTGTTGCATCATTTTAATCAAATTTCTAATTCTAAGGTGTTTCTAAGGTGCAGTGAAACATTCAGACACAAGTATGAATATAGTCTGGTGGATAAGTTAGATAAATATTACTTTTAAAAATGCACTTTATGAATTTCGGCACTGGAAATACTTCACACTTTGCTTTCCAACTGTATTTCTGTGGTCAGTTTTTTTTTTATTTTAAGCTGAAGCAAATAGAGCACTGAATATTTCAATAGTATTCCGATTACTGTTATGTTTTGTATTTTTGCAGGAGTTTCAAACCAATTCTTCGCCTGGGAGAGACACACACCATGGCCAGAAAATGGAAAAAGACAAGATACTGTCAGCACTGTCAGCAAACACTTAACATTTAATGCCTTAAAAAGAAAGTCAACTTCAAATGTGATTTGTGTAATTGCAGGTGTTTTTGAGCCTCGCTTTCCCAATTGGATCCAGCTGCCTATGTCTCGTGTCAACCTGCGTCCGTTTCACACAAACTCGTACGAGCGCTTGGTGAGGCTCCCTGCCCGAACGTACTTCATCCATGAGCACTCTACAGTGGAGTACTACAGGCGAAAACTCAAAAAAAGGCCAGTACTGATCCCACCATCACCATCCCTCCGCCCCGCCATCCCACTGCCAACTGAACAATAAATAAAAAGTAATAGTTGCAATAAGTTCAAGTAATTTTATATTTTCAGAATGAAAGTATAAAGTCATTTTTCAAGGTTGGGAGTATTTGCTGTCCAGCAGCATTTTGTTGGACACGGGTCTCAAACATGGCAACATTCAGGTCCTCTTAAATCACATGTGCTATGTTATTATATGTTATTATATGTTATTAT